GGAAGTGGGTTAATCACCCATCCCTGTACAGCGAGGAAACCTGGGTGGCCACAGCCTGGGCAGTGATGCGGGCACGAGGTTGGCTCTGCCCAGACACCTGCACCCCGAGCCGTGAATCTCCCCAGTACCCCACTGAGGCTGCTCCTCCTGCCCCGGGGGCTCGGCACCTTTCCCCCTCCGCATGCCCTCTGACTCGCACGCCCCAAGCAGCCCCAGGGGATGGCCCCTGCTCCCTCCCTCCTCCTGAGACCACAAATCACGCCGGGCACCATGGATGGGGGCAGGCGGGCAGGCAGCCCTGTGACGGGCGCCTGATGGGGCGGCAGATGCCCTCCAAAGAGCGGGACGGACAATGCGCGCTTGTCTGGCTAGGTGCTGGGGGAGCTGGCCCTGGCCCCGGCCCCGGCCCCGGCCCCGGCCCCTCCTCTCCCCCGGCGCTGGGGGAGAATTTATGGGTGCGGTATTGTGCTCCACAAAGGGTTACGGTTCGGGCCACCCCAGCACCAAATGCCGCGCGGGTGATTGAAAAGGCAGGTCTGCCCCGGGCCCCGGGAGCTGCCGGGCTCCGCTCCCCCCCATAAATCTGAGAGGCACCCGGAGCCCCTGCCCCAGCCGCGTGATTCATGGGGGGGCGGGCACCCCTCTGTGGAGGGCAGGGAGGCTGCCCGGGAGGGAGCTGCCACCACCAGCCCAGCAGGCAGGTGGGTCCAGGGTCCTGCCCCCGGGAGAGGAGCTTGGTGCCGACCCAGCCCACTCCCAGGACAGGCAGCTCCGGGAGGCCGGGACGCGGCTGGACCTGCACTGCAGCACGGGCCCTCTCTGCACCCCGAAACACGGCGCTGGCTTCTCCCTCCGCACACGTCTTGCCGTCGCTTCTCCAGAAATGTGGGCAGGGAAAGGGTGCCTGGGCGCTTCCCCGCGCCTTGCTGGAAGACCCTGACCCGCACACTTGCAACGAGCATGCCGGTGCTGAGCCCCAGACCTTCCTGGGGGACCCAGAGCCGTGGGGCTGGAGGGACGCCAGAGCCCTGCCAGAGGCAGGATCCGCCCTGTCCAAACCAGTCTGTACCACCCTGGGCTGTCCTGGGGCCTCTTGCTGGGGACAAGGTGGGGGGACGTAGCATCCTGGCTCTGCTCCCTGGGGATCAGTGTCGTCCCTGGGAGAGAGCCGGGTCTCTGGGTGGCGCAGAGGACCCGTGCCCGGATGCCAGGGGCAGCTGCAGTCAGGTTAGCTGCACTCAGATCCAGGTTAGCTGGACCCGAGGGCTGGACTCGGCCCGTGACCCAGCCCTGACCTGCCGGGATGAGCGGAGCCCGTCCCGGGATCTAAATCAATGCCCTCCACTTCCCTCCCGGGCTGAGTTATTGCACCCTGGTTTTGTGATGGAGATGACTGGGCAGTGAGGAACGACTGACCTGGGCCAGACCACCGGGCTCGGGCTTCCCGCCAGCCTCGCGCGGGAGGGGAAAGATCAGGGCTTTGTGCCAAATGCTTCCTGCCCCCGCGCCCTCGGAAGCCACGAGCACTGGTGATTTAGTGTGGCGGGTTCATGGGGCTCAGCCTGGACTAGCGCTCCCCACCGTGCCCCTGGGGAAGCGGCAGGTGTCCAGGTCGGTGGCTCCTCCTCACTGGTGGAAAAGCCAACCAGGCTGCCACATGGGCCCAGCCCGACCCTGCATTCAGCCAGCGCCATCCTGGCACCCCCACCCGCAGCTTGGCCCTCTGTGGAGGCGCCCATGCTGCCTCAGCCTGGGCCGGGATGTCCGTGACCCCTGAAGAGCTGAGAGCTGTTGCCCCCAGGAGGAAGGGGCTGCACAGCCCGCCTCTGCCACTGACTCCCGGGGCAGCCTTGGGCAAATCATTCCATCGAGCCCAGGCCTCAGTTCCCCATAGTGCTTCCCTGTGGCATTGAGCTGGCCTGGCTGGACCCTCTCCCTGTCCTCAGGGCCCAGCTAGCACCCAGCTCACACCTGGCTCTGGTGCTGGTCGATCCCCAGCCAGGAGGGGAGGCAGGGGCATGAGTGTGAAATGCCCTCGACAAGCCTGGCAGCTCCCCGGGGAGAACCAGACCCCTCGGTGCCGGACGCCTGGGCCACGGGGAGATGAGGCCCGACAAAGCATCCCCATGGCAAAGCAGCCAGCCCCTGGTGCAGACCGGTGGGTGCTGGCCCCCTCCCTCCCTTCCCGACCTCCGGGTCCAGGCAGGGCAGCAGCTGCTGTACGAGGGGCAAGAACAGAGCCCCCAAATGTGTGAGCCGAGCCAGGCATCTCCCCCCTGCACCCATGCAGCAGCATGGGGCCTGGCCTTCCTTCCCTGGGGTGGGAGCCCCCCCTCGTGACCACCGCAGGCATTGCACAGTCACGTCCAGGCAGGAGCTGGTGCAGCCCGGTGATGGCCCTGTCCTGCTGCACTGGGGCACCCGCCCTGGTACATGGCTGTGCTCACCCCAGCCGGGCCGTGCTCAGTGCCAGCAAGCACGCGGCACGGGGAAGCACCCATGCCCCTAGTCGGCGTGAACCAGAGGAGGGGCGGATGGACCAGTCCCCACTGGCAGCTCAGGGATGGGGTCCCGGAGATAAAGGGACTTGCCCAGGGTCACCAGGGTGGTAGTGGCAGAGAAGAGAACTGAAGCCTGATATCCCCCAGAGTCTAAACCAAGCCCCTCGCCTCCTACTGCACAGTCTGAGCGTGGCAGTGCCTGAGGCCCCGTCAGCCTGGTGCTGGGTTACCCAGGGTGCTGCAAGCCAGGAACTCCCCCCCCCCAGAGCCAAAGCACCCCTTCAGCGAGTGAGGCCAGGGATGTGCGGGTCCAGGGGCAGCGTGGTGGGTCAGGCAGGAAGGACGGGCAGAGCCGGAGCCGCCCACCCCTCTGCCGAGCTGTAATCTGCTCAGAGACTGCCACGGATTAGCGGGCCGACTCCCTGAGATAACCCCGCCAGCCGCCAAGCTGCTCCTGGCCCTCCCCAGGCCCCAAGCCAAGGAGGAGACCCAGGCCCCGCTGACGGTACCAGGCCCCTGCAGAACTGCAAGTCCAGGTCCAGGTTTCCTTTCCCTGGCAGGTTTCCTCCTCTCCTGCAAGCAAGCCCGCGGCTGGCGAGTGCGATGGCCCTGGCTGCACACCTGCTGGAGGCCGGCGCGGGAACAAAGCACGCACGGCGTTGTACGCCGGCTGGGTCCAGCGGCTCTGGGCTGAGCCGCAGCCGTGGGAGCTCAACGTGACCCTCTCCTCAGCTACCAGCACCCAACCCCTCCCGGGAAGCCCTGAGCCATTTTAAGTAAGGGTTTACATTAAGAGGCCTTGCTGGCTAAGCCCGCATCAGCGTCCAATCTGTTGTGGCACAGGTGCCCAGCCCGGGCCCAACCAGACGCTGCTTTTGCTGCAGGGAGGTGGGGGCATTTGCCGCGTGTCAGGAAGCCTCCCAGCTCGGCCGGCGCAGTGACAGGACTGAGCAGAGGCCCCGGGCAGGACATCTACACATACCCAGGTACGTCTTGCGAGCATAGAGAGGGGCCCCCTCCCTGGCCTGGGGCACCGGGGACTCCCACAGCAGCACCCCAGCCCCACACCACCTCCCCTGGCACCCAGATTCTGCCCCCGAGGACAATTCCCCGCACCCTGTCAGCACCTCGCTGGTTCTGCCCAGAGGCTGCAGGGTCTTGTCTCCACTACGGCACAGTCGCCACCCACCCGTGGGGGTCAATCCTGCACCTCCTGCAGCTGCAGCTGCTGCCTTGCCTGGGGGCCATGCTCCAGGGCAGGGTTCCCAGGGCGTGCTGAGCCCACCTCTAGTGCTCCGGCCCTGCAAGGCCGTGCTGGCAGCACGGCTGGAGACCTGGCGCCCTTCCCACAGCCCTGGGCAGGAAGTGGGGTTACAGGCAGGGGGGAGAGCAGGAGTGGAGCATGGTCCCCCCCTCCCCACTCAGTGCCCAGATCACAGCGCAGGATGCTCCTCTACACCCCGCAACTGCCGCGGCTCTGCCCTGGGTGCAGCCTGGCATAGTCCTGGTGCAAATGAGCTGCTGGTGCCAGCTGCCCAGGGGCGGCGTTGGGGACTTAATCCTGGCGGGTTTCAAGGGCAAACAGAGCCGGAGGCAAGGTCCCAGCCCTGTGCAATGCTGGCCTGGAGGCAGCATAGCGCAGGAGCAGGGCAGAGTCCCCCGTGCTAGCAGGGCAGACCGGTGGAGACGCTGCTGTGGGCTGAGGGGGTGCAGGGTTGGGCCTGGACTTGCTGACCGGTGCTTGCCCCGTAGGCACGGGTACCTGGAGGCACGAGGCCTGTGGTGGAGCAGAGAAGGCTCCTGATCTAGGGCCAGCCCCTGGCACCGCACTGGGCCCGGCTCCCCCTGCATGGGCCGGATGACAGATGAGGGTGGAGGAGAGCATGCTGCCAACCCTGCCTTCGACCCTGAGCTGCACTATGAGGAGGAGGAGGACAAGGACGAGGAGGAGGAAGAGGAAGAGCTGGGTGACACACTCAAGGCCTCTGAAACCAGCAGCATCTTCTCCGATGACTCCGTCTACCCCTGCTACACGCCCGTGCCCTGCAGTGGGGACCAGGGGGAGCTGACACTCCACCAGTGCTGCGCCAGGAACTGTGCCGCGCAGCTGCGGGACAAGCTGGAGAGCGGCGTGACCAGGCAGGAGGCCGTGCAACTGGACGCCAATGGCCGGGTGAGCACCCCAGCACTGCCCGCCACAGGGCACACGAAGGCCCTTGGCATCCCCTGTCCAGGCCTGGGTGTTCATAGGAGCTGGGGCGAATCCAGCTCCAGCGTGAGCTGATGAACCAGTGGGGTGACCAGGCCAGTCCAACCGAGCAGGTTGCAGAGAGCCCAGATCAACCCACCTGTGCTCCCATCCCTTGCTGGGAGGGTTCGGCTTGGTGCAGCCTGGCTGGGTCCGTCCCCGAGATCCTTTCAGTGCCACCAGCCCTGTGTCCTCACCCACCCGGGGAGGGCAGGGGGTCTCTGACATGCTGGCTCATCTGCCATCCCCAGAACGGGCTGATGGTAGCCTGCTACGCGGGCTTCCTGGACATCGTGGTCCTGCTGAGCGGGTGCCCCTACGTGGACATCAACCACCAGGACAATGACGGCAACACAGCCCTCATGATTGCAGCCCAGGCAGGTAGGCACCAGCTGTGCCAGGAGCTCCCTGCTTCCCTGGGACCTGCTGCGGCACGGGTGCATGCCTGTGCACAGACAGTCCAGCTTCCTGCACACCTCTGGGAGGGGCAGGGGCCCGCGACACACCCGGGGCAGTGCCTAGGAAATGGTTCCCCTACAGCAGCTCTGCCCAAGCCAGGCCTTCACAACAGACCAGACATTTTATCCTGCCGGGATGCAGAAAATGCTTCCCTCTTTTGCCCCTTGCCACAGAGAGAAGCACCCCCTTCCCACTCTTCCCCTCCTACCCCAGCTCAGACAGGCAAAGGAGCCTCAGCTCGGGAGACATCTCCCCTGCCAGGTTCCTTCCTGCTCTTACTCCCCAAGAGGCTAAGGCACGAATGATGCATTTTGCATTTCACCTCCCCGGGGAAGCAGGTCAGACCTGAACATGGGCAGCCTTGAATGCTGTTGCATGTCTTGGCTGCCTCCGAAACTGTACCTCAGCTCCTCTCCCTGGCTGTTCAGGCCACGACATGATTGTGAACTACCGGCTGAACTACTACCCCGGCCTGGAGGTCGACAAGAGAGATGCCCGGGGCCTGACTGCGCTCATGAAGGCCGCGATACAGGGATGCAACAACTGTGTCACCGCGCTGGTCCTGGCGGGTGAGTGGCTTCCTCCATCCTCCATGTGCGGCTGCCCTGTGGTGGCCCCAGGTCCCCCAGTTTCCCGGGAAGGGGAGATTGCCTGGGTGGCACCCCTTCCTCCAAAAGCCCCTGGGGTACCAGGCGGTGGCATGGCCAGGGGGTGGCACCTGTTCTGCGCCATTCGTGCCCCTCTGTGGCCACAGGGGCTGACCTGAACGCAGTGGACCCAGTCAAAGGGAAGACGGCTCGCGAGTGGGCGGTGTTCACCGGGCGCTTCGAGACCATCGTGCAGATCCGGCGCCTGTTGCAGCGGCCTCGGGCCGAGCAGTTCAGCAGCGAGTACCTGCCCGAGTGGCCAGCCCTGCCCGAGCTGGTGGCCAAGGCGCTGGCCACGAAAACCAGGGGCGAGCGGATGCAAGAGAAGATCCGCTCCAGTTTCAGCTTCCGCTTTCCACACGACCCCGAGGTGGACGGGGTGATGGACCACATGGTCAGGATGACCACCAGCCTGGCCAGCCCCTTTGTGTCCACCGCTTGCCAGACCATCTGCCCCCTGAGCCCTCCAGAGGTGGGCAAGCGCAGACTAGCTGTGCCAGAGATCCTCAGGGCACAGGTGCCCAATGCCAAGCCCCCAGCTGAGGCCAAGACATGCTCTGGGGCTGAGGAGCTCCCTGGCTGTAGCCAGCCTCCGGCCCTGGCCTCATCCCAGCCCCGCGGTAGCATGCCCAGCTTCCTGCCCCTGCGGCTGCTGCGCAGAAGCAGCATCTTCCCCGAGGACCATGTCCCCAGGATCAAGCTGACCAAGCCACCCGCCCCGCCGGCCTCCGCGGAGGAGCAGCCGGAGGAGTCGCAGGACAGGAACACGCTGCGGCTGCCCAAATGGAGGTACAAGGAGCTGCGGGAAAAGAGGAGAGCGGCCAAGGAGTTAGAGGAGGGAAGCTGAGGGATGGGGACACGGGGAGCCCTGGACAAAGGCCTAAGATGTGTCCATTCTGGCCACCCCGTGGATGCACTGGGAGCATGGCTAGGGTTGGGCAAGGATACAGGGCTCCTGCCCAACCCTAGCACTTTGCTTTCCCTGCTTTGACATTAGACCCCCTGCCCCGAACAGCTGCTGAAGGCTCAGCAGCACAGTGCCCGGCCCCTACATGCCCTGCCACCCCAGGCATATCCAGCTCCATGCGGTGCCCAAAGAGTGGACTGGCCACGATGGCACGGAGGGGTGTATGGGCCTTGGGCACTTCAGTGCCCAGCCTGCTGCATCCTGGCCTCAGGCCTCTGCAGGGCTCCCTCGGGCAGTAGGAGGTGAAGGAAATGGACCCATCCCATGGGGTGACCTCCGTCTCTGTCCCGTGTCACCAGCATCTCGCCCTCGCAGCACAGTCGTGGGGCACGGTAGGTCCATTAAACGCGGAGTGGTTGCCGTGTTAAGAGCTTTATTCCGACCTGAGCCTCAAGGCTGGCGATGCAGTGGCTAACGGTGCTTTGTCCTTTTTCCGGGCATCTCCCCCGGGAGAGCGCAGTGCCTTGGGGACGTGACTTCCCAGCTGCGGTTGATGCCCCTGGCACAACTGGGGACAGGCCCCAGGTCCTGCTGGTCCTCCATGGGAGAGTGGACACAGCCCTGAAGCTGCAGCGGGCCGTTCCCCTTCCATCACCCCCTCGAGCGTACCTACTCCCACTGCCCCATCCTACCGCTCCCACCCTCCCCCAAGAGCTGAAGTGTGCCCCCAGGAGCCCCGACACCCAGCCCCTGCCCACCCTCCCCAGACACCGACTGATGCTTCAAAGGGAAGCGAAATGCAACTCCTACAACACATGTGGTCAGTGCTGCATCGGAGGGCCGGGGGGTGGGGATTTCTTCCTGACCCCTGAAGCATGAGCTTGGACTACAGCCAGTGTCGCAGCACACACCTGCACGTGCACGTGGGCTGACGCCACTGCAGGAAATCCTGTCCCCTGTGCTTGGGAAGGAAGAGGAGAGACGGGGATTCCTGAGCCCCGAGGGGCCACCACAACTGGCCAGCCTGAGGCTGGATTCAAGTGCATCTTATAGGAAGATGCATCCTCTCCTTCAAGGCCTCCTAGCTGTGGGATGCCCCTCTCCCTCCCTGGCTCCAGAGACCCGTCAGGCCATTCTGTGCATGTTCCTGGCCCCGCAGGACCTGACAGGTTGGGAGCACTGGGTCGCCTCCGCATCCATGACCCAGACCCACTCCTGTCCCCAGACCCCACAGCCCAAGGAGGTGGGCAAGCCATGCTTGCAGGGCACTCGCTGTGTCCCTTGGGCCAGGGCCGAGACATGGGGCCAGCTCCTGCTGTGGGGCTGCAAGAGGAGGGGACATGTTGTCTGGGCACAGTCCCCTGTGAGCAGTGCCCTGCAGCCACAGGATAGGAACGCCATGTGGGTTACCCCAGCCGGCCCAGGGGCATGGGGAGGGCAGGCCTGGCCACAGGTGGAGAGGAGAGGATCCCCCCAGCTGCAGTAGCCCCCAACAGCTCAATGCAAATGAACCAGCCACCACCATCCAAGCCATAGGCAGCAGAGCAGAGGAGATTCAGCGAGCCCTAGACAGATACCCCACGGCCCCCCGCTGCAGAGAAGAGGGACGGTTCCTACCCCGGGAAACCCGTGGTCAGTCACTCTCGCTGTCCAGAACTGCAGACCTCCCCTCCCCACCAGCACAGACGGAGCAGGGACAGCCCCAGCCACATCAGCCACGCCAAGTCACGTGGCAGCTCCGTGCACAACACAACCCAGGAGTCCCGACCCCTGTGCCCCACGTGCAATGCCCTGTGCCCACGGGATGCGATGCTCTCACTGTTGCTTCCCACCCCAGGTGGCTCCGGGAACATCCCGGGCTCCTCGACTCCCACCATAACCACCCAGCACCCTGCTCCCCACCCCGGGTGCTGGAGCCCGGCAGGCCTGCCGGCACAGTCCCTGGCAGCGCTGCAGGCTGTGCCGAGATGACATCTCACTGCCGGCTCTGGCACGCCTTGCCTCACCTGCCAGGCTGCGTTCGCAACTTTGAGCTGTCCACACACCTGTCGGCCCGGCAGCTGGAGCCACTTGAGGCCTTTCCAGGTGATGCAGAGAGGCTGCAAAGCACCTTCTGCTCAAGGTGACACCGGGGCTGCAGCTAGCAGGGAAGCCCTGCGGCCCAGGAAAGCCAGGCTGCTGCATCCCCCGGCCAAGCAAATAAGGACTGAAGTCCCAGAGCCCTTTGATCTCCATGGCCGGAGGAGAGGTAGACATGGGAGAAGAGGGGCAGTGCCCTGAGCCCACCCACAGTTTGCCCCCCATGCTTTGGAGGCAGGCATTGACTGCTGTCACTGCTGGCTGCTGTCATGGGGAGCACTGCCCCCCAGGCCCATTGTTGCCTGCATGGACGCTTTGCAGGTCCCCGGTCACAGCGCTTGGCTCAGCTTGGAGCCAGTGAGGCCAGGCCAGCATCCAGGCACAGGGAGGGGGCTGGCGCTCAGTGGGGGACTCAGCCCGGTCTGGCGCTGCAGGGCGGGGTGGCCGAATTCAGGAGCCTGGTGGCCTGAGGACCACCTCCTGCTGCCCTGGCCCTCAGGCCACCCAAGATGCCTGTGGCCACTTCACAGGGGTGTCCAGGGCTTTGTGCAAGGCACAGGGTGCCCAGGGGAAGGTGCTTCTGTGTGTCCTGGGCCAGCCCACCGCTTCTCATTTCCTCCACGCATGGCTTGCTGCTGGTGCCAGCTCGCCGGCTCGGCACACATCTGAACTGGGGGCGGGCAGCACATGGAGCAGGGGAGCCGGCGCTCCGCACATGCAGTGCCAGGCGCGTTCCAACGGTGGGGGCGGGGGAGCAAGGCGCCGGCGGGAACAGGCTGCTTGGGGGCTGGGGGATCCGTTTTGCCCCGATTCTAGCTGCCCCCGACTTCTTTCAAGGCTCGCAGTCTCTCCAGCAGTCACCGCTAAGCACTCGGGAGGGGCTGTTTCTGGATGAAGACCAATGTCCCTGTCCTAGGGAGGCTACTGCAGATGCCCTGTGCTTTCCCCATGGCATTTTTGCACCCCACAGCGGTGGTGGGCATCTCCTGAGGTCAGCCTCGGAAGGGTGGAGGTACCTGGACTTTGCTGCTGGGCCCAGCCTGGCTGCTCACAGGTCTGAGCAGGGACCCCAAGAGCCAAACCCCGGGGCTCGGGTTGCACCCCTGAACGTAATCGCAAGGGATTGAAAGCAGCAGGTTGAAAGCGAGGCCTTGTTCTGCTGCCAGTGAAATAAGCAACCCCCTTCTGCGTCTTGGTGTCCCCATGGTCCAGTGGAGGTCATGAGGAGTCACAATGGGGTGTCTGGGAGATGCCCTGGGTGCATTGGCCCCCCTGGCTAGTTTTGTCCTTTCTGTGAAGTCCGGACCTTGCCGGCTCCCTCCCTACGTGCCGACTTCCCGTTGGGAACTGCACGACAGACAGGGGGTGGAGCGGGTTTGGGGTCAATGCTTAGCTCGACAGTCTGCTTAACTCTCTCACCCCACATTTATTCCCAGGCAACCCTGCTGCACAGAAATCAGTGGACGCCAGTCCTCAAAACACAGCCCGCACAGGGCAAGTCACAGTCCCGAGGCCTCTGCCCTGACCCCGAGAACCAGCTGCTGGCTTCGTGCTGCTCCCCCAGTGCCGCGGCGTGGTTTTCCTTCTCTCTCCTGGGCGAATTCCCTCTCCCGGCCTCGTGGTGCTGCTGCCTCCAGGTCTTTTGCCAGACCCTGCGAGAGTCCTTGGCTCAGTTCTGCCCTCGCTAACCAAACCCCCTCCCCTTCTTTCAGCCTCTACCCCCAGCTCCTCTCCCTAGGAGCCTTCCTATGGCCACCTAATCATCCTCTGCAGCTGGCCCAGGGCTCCCAGGCAGCCTGCAGTCACTCCTGACTGCCTGCCGCTGGCCATAGTCCCTGCAAGCCTGCAGCCTGGTGGAGGATACTTGGTGATGGTCGGGCCATGTAAGACTTTTGACTGATTCCAAGGATTTGGAACTCGTTTGACCTGGTGCACAAAAAAATGTCCAAAAAAAAAAAGCCTGCCGACTCCTCCAGCCTGGGGGCTCCTTGGGAAAAGTCTTCTTTCTGCATAGCCCTCCAATCAAGAACAGGGAAATCCCCGCCCCCAGCCCATCCTTGTCAAAAAATAGAGCAGCGGGACGAACAGAAGAGCCGACATCCTCTCTCTGCTCTGGCCGCGTGTGTGGGAGGAGGGTGAGCTGCAGCATGTGGCTGGGGAGGAAGGAGGTGCTGGCTCTGGGTAGAGACTGGCCTGCTGCGACGCAACATTTGGGCAGTCGCAGCCTTTCCACCCCGCTCCCTTCAGGCCTGCTGGCCCCAAGCCTGCCGCCGTAGCTGGGCGAACCCTCTTGGTCATCTCTGCACCCCTAAGCCAGTGATTCTCAACCGGGCTTCACAGCCTGCTGGGCGCTGTGAGATCCTTTCAAGGGTGCCCAGAGGAATCCTGAACTCTCAAACCCTTCAGTCCTGTTGGGGCCTTTCTAGGTCTTTGCAGCAAAAGAGTGGTTTTGTTCTTTGTCTGTAGCCTAAACAGGAGTGGAAGCTCGGACCTGGCGTGTTCTGACGGAGCCTCGAGTCTAACAAGGTTGAAAGCCACGGCCCTAAGCCAAAGCCACATGCACGGTCCCTTGCACGGGCTCCTGTGACACGTGAGCTGTCCAGGAATGGCCGTGGGAGAGTGGCCCGGTGTCAGACAGTCGCGATGTCAGGACTGGAGCAGAGATGGTGAGAGCGATAACGTGTTTGCGAGGGCGGGCGCAGACTTCCTCCCCTGGCGGCGTGGCAGCCGGTCCTCTCCTAATCAGATTGAAGCTGCCCGTTTCCCATCCCACGGAGCCATGAGATTCCTACCCCTGCCGCCCCACCCTTGAACCTGCCGTTGGCCGGAAATCTCCCGGTTGCTAAAATATACAAGCATCT